AGATTCATAATTCAAAACCCAAATTCTTGAAACCATAACCCTAATTTTTGATTTCACAATTGAAAACCCTATAAAATATATTTGTAATTCACAATCAGAAGAACGTCGTCAACGACCATCTTGGATTTCACTCAGACTATTCGCGGCGAAGGACACGGCCACCCTCTCACAGCTGAAAATTTTCTCCCCCTTTCCCTTAAATTTTCTCCTCATTTTCTTTTGGTTGAACTTGCTTTTCTTTTATGCCAAACATCCCCTTATACTTTCCATAATAGAGAAAGAAAAAATGATATAATGATCAGTTGGATCTATGGACTCGGGATAATTAGTACTAGACTAACTATGACAACTTTAAACATAGTTCCTTGTAATTCAATTTTGTATGACACTGATATATATTATATGATTCTATTTTTTTTTTAATATATCGTAAATATTGTTAGGCTGTGCTTAATTTATTGGAATGAAAATAAAAGGGAATGGCATGATTATTCCTTAAATATGTTTTGATTAAAAAGAAAAATTTGTGGAAAGTGAAAGTGAAAGAAAAAAATAATAATAATTTGGAAATTTTGAAAGAAAGGGATAGAAAATTTTGAAATTTTAATTATAGATAATTTTTATATAGACAAAATTAAATTTTCTTGTGTTTTGCCATGTTTTTTTCCAAGAAATTATAAAGTTAGTTACGATAATAATATACAAGAAAATTATTATTATTATAGATAATTATTTGTTCCTAAAAATTATTTGTTCCTAAAAAAAATCATATAACATTATTAAAAAAATTTAATTTATCATATATTTCTTAAACCCTAATTTTTGAAACCATAACCCTCATTTCTGATTTCACAATTTAAAACCCTAACCCTAATTGAAAAATGATTTCACATTCATCAATTCAAAACCCTAATTCAAAACCAAAACCCTCATTTCTGATTTCACATTCAATAGAAAACCATAACCCTCATTTTCTCATTTCAAACATAATATTTAAATTTTTCTAAACAGATTCAACATTCAACAGATTTCACATTCAACAGATGTCACATTCAACAGAAATCTGATTTCACATTCAATAGAAATCTGATTTCACATTCAACAAATTTCACAATTATAAACAGATTTCACATTTCTAAACAGATTTCACAAAATTTTAAACAGATTTCACAATTCAAAACCCTAATTTCTCAAACCGTATCGTAATTTCTGATTTCACAATTATAAACCCTAACCCTAATTTATTATTTTTGATTTCACAACATTTTCACATTCATGAACCCTATTCTACCAACATTATACCCACATTCACATTTTCACAAACACAAAAAATGCATTAAAGTAGATCAACAAAGAGAGACAAAAGCCATACGAACGAGAGAGAGCACAGAGAGCGACAGTACTGAAGCAGAGGGAGCTCGAGCACAGTGATAGAAAGAGAGCAGTAAGAGCGAGAGAGAGAGAGAGTAGTAAGAGCGAGAGAGAGAGAGCAGGCAACGAGAGAGAGAGGTGTTAAGTGTAACAACAAGTGTAATTGTAAAAGACAGGGCTAGAGAGATTTTATATAAGTTTTAAAAGCGTGGTTACAAATCACGCTTTCACTTAAGGAAAAAAAATCGTATAAAAAGCGTGGTTCACAAACACGCTTTCAGAAGAAATTTTTTTTTGCCAAAACGCATGGTTCATAACCACGTTTTCAGAAGAAAAAAAAATTAAGCTAAAAGCGTGGTTCATAACCATGATTTCAGAAGAAATTTTTTTTTGTTAAAAGCGTGGTTCACAACTGCGCTTTCAAAACAAAAAAAATGTAAGTTAAAAGCGTGGTTTAGAACAGTGATTTCAGATAAAAAAAAAATTAATTAAAAGCACCTTTTGTAACCGCGTTTTCTTAATTAAAAGCGCATTTGTAACCATGCTTTTAAGACTTCCCAATCCTCACGCGGGACAGCGCACAGGCGTGAAAGCGCGGTTCTGAACCACGTTTTAGTCTATTTTAAAAAATCTTTTAAAACTAGGCCTAATTTAAAAATTGAATTGATAATTTGACTTATTTTGGAAAATGGCACCGAAATTGGTCCTGCTCTTTAATTTGCTGTGTATTGGGTTGGGGTGCTGGTGGGTTTAACGATGATTCGCGCCGGCAGCTTCTAACTCTCATATTTGTTTAAAATTTTACAAGTATTTGAAATTATTTGTATTTTTAAATATTTTGTGTAAATGTAAATGACTCAATTCAACTACATTTTAAATTTTAGAAAGAGTTAGACCCCCAGCTGAGGGTGCTGGGGTCGGCTCCTATTGGACAAAAAAATTGGTTTTTTTTTTTTTTTTTTTTTTCGGCCAACCCCAGTGCGACACGTCACTGGGGGTTGTCAGTGGGGGTCCTGTAGCATTTCCGTTCATTTTCATACAATTCATGTGCCTTATTGACAAATGGGGACACACTCTATTACTTTCACAAAAGAATCATTTACATTCAGAAGCCAAAAATAACTTGCTTATCACACACTCTGATAATCCATAAAAAGGGCATTGAATTAAATCCATACTACAACATTCCAATAGTATAGAGAAGTTCTTTTGAAAATCCAAACCATCTATTTATATTTTGACCTTAATTTTTTAAGCAACAAATTGGACAACAAATTTGACCTTAATTTTCTAAATTGGAAAAATTGGACAATGTTTTTTACTCAAAATACGTGAAAACACATAAATCATGCAAAAGTATAAAATTTTATTTTAAATTCGTAAAAAATATTTTAAAAGTTTTTAGCTGTAAATTTTATAACATAAATTTTTAAGTGTATTCAGATTAATTGAATTGATCTGAAAAGTAAAAAAATATTGATTAAAATATTTAAAAAGTTTACTAAAAATAATAAAATACAATTTGAAAATTTAAAAAAGGGTGAATTACACTGACACCCACTAAAGTTTTTATTTAATACAGATTTCCCCTTACATTTTAAAAATTACACTTCTCCCCTGTCAGATTAAAATGACATATTTGTCCATTAGCCTTTATGTATATAAAATAATAAAATAATGTAAATATTTTGTACATGTCATTTCAAGGAAATAACAGGTTTAATTTATACAAAAAATATTATTTTTTATTTTTTCGTATTTTTTTTTTATTTTTACTGATTTTTTTTAATATTTTAAGCAATTTTGTTATTTTTTAAACACACCTAATCTACATATAATATTTTGTGACTTTTTTTTTAATATATTCACCAAATACAAAAAAATTAATACATTATCTTATTTTGTTGTATTCAATGAATTTTTTTACAAATTTTATACTTTTTAAATATATCTAGATTAGATATATCTAGATATAATGGTGGAGATAAAAATGAAAAATTATATTCATATATAAAAATGTAGGGTCAATTACATTGGCACCCTCCTGAGACTTTTGTTTAATACTCCTTCTCACGTTTGAAAAATTACCCTTACCCGCTATCAAATTAAAATGACAAATGCTGATATTTTGTTTATGTCATTTTAAGAGAAACAATAATAATCATCTTCTTTAGGTTAACTCACACAAAAAATTGATTTTTTTAAAATTTTTTTTGTTTTTTTTTTTTTTTTACTGGATTTTTTAAATATTTTAATTTTAATTTTTTATTTTTTAGATACACCTAATCTTGATATACTTAAGAAGTATGTGAAAAAAAATCACCAAATACAAAAAAATAAAAATAAATAAAAAAGTACAAAAAATCAGTAATATTGTAATAAATGTGAATGGCGGTGTTTGGTAATACTGTAATAAATATTGGTGAATAGACGAGAAATAAAAATGATGGTGGAAATAAAAATGAAAAATTCTATTCATATACAAAAAATATCATAAAAATGTTGTGATAGTGATATTGTTGAAAATATAAATCATGTTTAGGGGTCTTTTTTTAAAAAAATGAAAGGGTACCATCAAGCTATATTATTGTGTTTAAAAATTTTATATAAAATTTATGTTTGTATATCATTACTCAATAAGAATATATTCATGTATAATTTGATGATAGAAAGTTATAGAATGTAATCATAATGATAGGAAAAATAAATGGTAAGAAAAAGGATAAGATGGTCATTTCAAAAATTTTAAAGCATGACATCAGCAATCTAAGGGGTAATTTGTAATGAAATTATAAACCTTAGGGAGATGAATGCAATTTTTCAAATGTGAAGGGTGATCTGTATTAAACAAAAATCTCAGGAAGTGTCAGTACAATTTACCCTTTAAAAAATTGTTATTGAAAAATTCAAAACTAAATAAGTTTTGAATTTCAAATTTATAAAAATTATTTTCAAAATATACAATCAAATAAAATTTCGAGTTTGACAAACTCTTTTTAAAAATATAATTATAAAATTCTTTTGAAAATCCAAACCAAACGGATCATCTATTTATATTTTGACCTCAAATTATTTTTTTTGCAACAAATTAGATAAAGTACATTTTAACTCAATAATTTTATATTCAATTATATTTTAATCTTAACATTATTTTCTCCATGCCTTTAAGCACGAGTATACGCTAGTTTACTAATGTCTTAATTAAAAAAAAATGAAGAGTATTGTTAGAGTTTGCAATCATGTTAAGCCATCTCTAATCGAGACTCATATATTTCATCAAATTTGATGAAAATTTGACAAAAATAGTACACCAATCATTTCATCAAATTGATATCAAATAAAAAAAAAGGCATAATTTTCATTAAATTAAAGGAGTCTCTAGTCTTTTATCAAATTTACCGTAACCATCGGTCGATTAGATTTTGATCCTAGGAATCGAAAATTTACTCAACATCAAATGACCGGTCAAATTTAACAAAAATCTTATTTCACCATTGAAGTGCATTATATCATATTAAACTTTTCAATAATTTTTTTCTTAAATTTAAGTCTCGCGTATCAACTATACATGTTAATTAAAAAAATCATTATAAATTATAACATTACTCCCCATATTTTTCTGTAAGTTTCCTCTCAAATTTGAAGAAAGATTTGACGAACATGCGGATGCTCTTAAAATAGAAAGCTGCTATATATAACAAGAAATGAATCCATACATGTATATGAACAACAACGCGACATTTGCGGTTTTCCAGACTCACCATAGGTACATACATAAACAATCAAAATAAAAGGAATATCCATTACAAAAAAAACATTCCTTTGATTTTATTTTTGAGAGAGAGGGAGAAAGACGGAGGAGGGAGGTGGTCGTGGTGGTGATTCACGTTGTGGTGGAAGAGGAAGTCGTGATCTCGTCAGATCGGAGCAGCAAGTGTAAGAAATCTTTTATTTATTTTTTTATAATTTTTATCTCATATTATTGTTGGATACATCTCCTTGTCGATTTTCTTCTTGTTGTTGATCTGATTATGAATGAAAGCAATGTGACTGGATCGGTGTTGTTGCCAATTGATTTTCTTCAATTCTATAGCCCTCTTTTCTTCTTGCCCTGTGGGTGTTTATTTCTTTTTATTTTTTATTTAATGGGATTTTCGTTTCTTGGTCTGTGAATGTGGGTTTGGAAATGGATGTTTGCTTTCCCATTTCTCTACATATATATATATATATATATGATTCAAGAGTTGTTTGGTTATAACTCATATGATGTTTGGTTATAACTCATTGTTTTTTAGTTATGATATTATAGTATTGAGTTATACTATTTGTGATAATCAAACTCACAAATGGTATATTTGCATATATTTGCATATGGTACAGGGTGTACCATAGCATTACCACATATATATGTAAATTATAATACAATTTTATTTGTATAACAATTTTGGATTTTCTTTTGCTTATGTGAATGTGGGCTTTAAAACAAGGAAATTTATCACAAATTTTTACTATTTGGTGAACTGGGTTTGCCTATTGTTGTGGCCTTTTAGTTGCATTTGCTCTGTTTCCAGGTTGTCTTTTTTATTTTCTGGCGGTTCATGGGGCCTTTTCTTTCACATTATCATTACTCCTTCAAACACCCAAATATCTCTATTTTCGGTAAATGTTTCTATTATTTTATGTCTTCTTGATTTTGTCCATTCATCATTTCAATGTGGACATATTATTGAGTGCTGGTTTGAATTTATCCTTCCTTATTACACTCTTGTGCACTCGTTTTTTTGTTGTTTGGAAGTTCAAGTTTCATCCTTGTAGTTTTGACTTCTAAATTTTTTAGCTGTTGTATTTAAAATTTCGCCAATTTGTGTACCAACATAAGGCATTGGGCTATGTTGTTTATTAATATCCTTTGTATATCCCTATATTGGTGATGAATATATTTGTAGGAAGCAGCCCACAAGATCTATATGTGAACAAGAATGATCTTAGGCTTTGAAAAGGCCAATACAAAATCTGTTTAAAGCATTAAAATTATGTTATGACTGTTTTCCATTCAATTCCCTTCTTAACAAGTGGTTTTATTAATTCATTTTGAAGTTCTATAGGTTCCGTTGGGCTATTCCTTCCATTAAATTGTAGATTTTAATGCCACATATCTTTTTTTATTTTCATCTGCTGCATTGGTAGGGTTTATGCAGTGAAGGGCTCTAGGAATTTTTGTTAACGTAGTCAAATTTTTTTGTCAATCAATAGAAGATAAATTACAACTATTATGAAAACTACATCAAAAAGAAACTATACAACCACAAATCTACAACAAATCCAACAAACATAGTAAAGATTTCAAAACAAACAAGAAGTGGATGGAGCTGCAAACGAACTAAACCGAACCGAACCAAGCTTTGTTGAGAGATGACAACGGGTCGGGTTTTTTCGGGTTTTGCTTGCGAATTCTTGATTTTAAACTCAACTATTTTGGTTGTACAATTTCACATACTTTAATCTTGTCAGTTTTGACATTATTATCCCTATAAATTTTGCCCTAACTTATCAATGTTCTCTCAAACATTTTTTTTTTGTTTAAATCGGGTTGGGACAAACATAATCTTACGGGGTAACTTTGCCATCCCACGGCTCGAGCTTGGCTTTTTTGTTTAACGAGCTCAATTATCGAGCTCGAGCTCAGGTCAATAACCAATCAAGCTCAAGCTCGGCTTGGTAATATTTGTCAAACTTGAGCTTGGCTCGAAGCGATAATGATTTTTTTTTTGCTATTATTTACATTATTTAAATATACAAATAATAAATTTATGTTATTAGTTCTATATATTTTTATATTATTTAATATATAAATAATATATTTATTCTATAATTTAAATAAAGATAAAGGAGCAGAGCTCATTTACTAAACGTGCCTAAAAGTCAAGCTCAAGCTCAAGCTCTAGGGATGGCAATCCGAAACCGGCCCGACGGGGACCCGACCCCCCGATCCCGAATTGAGCGGTTATTCCCCGAAAAATACCCCCGACGGGCAGGGGATGGTATTAAAAAAGAAATCCCCGATGATATTTGGGCCGGGGACGGGGATACATGTCCCAGCCCCGGACCTGGCCCCGCCCCCGGCCCCGTCCCGTTCAGTCCCCGATGTAAGATTACCTTTATACCCCTATATATATATATGTATGTGTGTGTGTGTTTAGGGTTTGGTTGCCACACTCTCACACAAACACATTGGCGTTGCTCTCTCTCTCTCTCACTCACAGCCGGCCGTGGGTTTCGCCTCCCCCTCTCTCTCTCGCTCTCACTCACAGCCGTGGGTTTCGCCTCCCTGTCTCTCACACGACGGCTGCCTCTCCTTCCTCACCGCCTCTGCCATTCCACACTCTCTCTCCTCTCTTCCTTTCTCCCTCTTCACCGCGGTCGCTCGTCGTTCGCACTGTCGCGGTCGTCGTTCGCTGCTGCAGCTCCGCTGCATACCCTGCCATCGTCGCCGGCGAAGAAGTAGGGGTTTGGTAAGACGATTCTCTCTCTCTCTCTCTCTGCCCCCTATCTTCTCTCTCTTCATTTCAATTCTAAATCTAAGGCGTTTGTTTCACCATTTCTCAGATCTGAACCAGATGGTGAAAGAAAATGAACCAGATCTGAAGGCTTGTACATTTTTTATGATTGTTGATGATTGATGAATTGTTGTTGATGATTGAACCAGAAAATCTAAGGCGTTTTTTTTTTTTGAACCAGAAAATGATTGAACCAGAATTGTTGTTGATGATTGAACCAGATAATTGTTGATGATTGTTTTTTTTTTTTTTTTGATGAATTATTGTTGATCATGATGAAAAAAATGGGTCGGGGATATTTCGGGGTCGGGGAAACCCGATCCTCATTAGGGGGCGGGGATGGGGACGACGGTAGGTTCCCCGTCGGGGATCGGGGACGGGGAGTGTGATCCCCGGCCCCGCCCCGCCCCGTTGCCATTCCTATCAAGCTCGGCTCGTTTACTAAACATGCGTAAAAGTCAAGCTCAAGCTCATTTATTTACTTAACAAACCGAGCCCTTAATGAGCCTAGCTCATGGATAACTCAGTCTGTTTGTAGCCCTACAAGTGGATAAAATCGTACCTCTATCCTTCTAGTGATATGCATGGAGTCTCTATAAGCTCATACAAAAATGCCACTTGTTGAGGTGTGTTTAGCATTGCCTCAATGTCAAATTTGACATATGGATGAGGGATATCAAATTTATTAATTTATTTTTGTTTTCTTTGTTACGTTTAACCCACATTAAGTGGTTTTGTCTAACTATTTTAAAAACAAACTAAATTTATTTTTTTTAAAAAAAATTAACATAAAAACTATAATAAAAATAATAAATTTGGCATATTGGATGGACTGCTTATTTTTAGAAATGTCAAATTGCCACATAAGCCTTTACAAAAGAAAAAAAAAAGAAAAAGAAAAAGAAAAAAAGAAAGTGATAGTTTAAATTTGAAGGTTTGGCTGGAGATATAGAGCTAAAAAATAAAAAATAAAAATTGAATTGGAATAGGCCTTAGCTCGCCGCCCTCACTTCCACTCCTGCTCCCCTCCCTGCCCATGCCCCCGCTTCATACAACTAAGGAATAAATTTGGATGAAGAGAATTCAAGCAAGCAGCTAATGATGTTAAGATTTTTTTTCAAAATGACAAAGTGGTGCCAAGGTGTTCAAAAATTTTTGAGAGATGACAAGTGGTACATAAGGTATTCAAAACATTTTAAAAAAATGACAAATACCATTCAAAACATATATTATTACTAGCGTTCTAGTTTTTTTTTTTTTTTTTTCAGGGTATGCAAGTGAATACCCTGACTTCCTAGTGGTGCCACCGCTGGGTCTATGGCAAAAAGAATGTAGTCAGAAGGAAAGGGAATAGGAAAGGAGGAAATTGCACACTGAAGACTCTTGATCTTTCTTTGTTTATGTTGAGGATTGCTATTAAATGCATCCATGATCTGTGGTAAAACCAAAAGCAATCAAGTGTATGTAAGCTGCATTAATGCAGACATGCAGTAATTACCAAATTATAGTTCCGCCATAAGAGGTGCAATCTAAAACATTTTTCCCTTGATACTGTCTTTGGAGGCATTTCTTCAACTCTTGCCGGTTCTAGTGGGTGTTAGGAGTATGGTAACAAATAAGTGCCAATTGGGGCATGCATGGCATGTTTCCTAGCTAGCCAAGGAAGCTTGCTCAATACCGCACTTATCTTGTCTAGATGGTAAATTATGGTAACCATTGAATGGACAAAGTGAGTTTTAATTTTATTTCATTTATTATTATTTGTTCCTCCTTTCATATATACATTTTTCCATAGGAGGGTTGTTCAGTCTATGATGGAAACTCATGAAAAAGTAAACCTGTTGGATCCATAATTTTACTGCACAGTTAATTGTGAACATTGTTTGTCCATTGTCTCTACCAAGCAGGAATTGCAAAAGAGTTCTCTAAAAGTTATAACTGAGAATGTTTTTCTTTTCAGTAAATTGTAGAAGTGTATCCGGGATCGGGACATATGTTTGAGATTGTGTGCATGTGCATGCATATTGGCATGTATGTGTTTTTGAAGGCCACAAGCCAAATTATAAAAGTTCTTTTGTTTTATTTTGGAGCATCTTCGTTAACTTGGGGCAATTTTCCTTAAGTTAAGCCATTGCTGAGTATTGGTTCCAGCCATGCTGGATGGTAATGTAGATTCGGTGCATACCTTAACTGTGGCAATTTTTGCATGAAGTGGCTGATGTCAGGGCCAAATGTTTATTCTCATGCTTTCCAGCCATGCTTTTGCACTACACCAAGTATTGCTTACTCGATAAATTTTTGTTGAAATGAAAAAATATATATTTAAATTGCTACTGTAAACCATAATAGAAGGAATTTTTTTTTCCTTGCTTTCAATATTTTGCAAGTATTTTTTGGTGTCTAAATTAGCATTGTTACTTTGTTTCCATGTGGTTTCTGGATCTCTGCTGAGTAAACTGATGACATTGAATAAACTACCGTTGGTTTGATCACAGGACGTGTGTCCTTCAATGACAAGCAATCTGATGCTATTGCCTCATTTTTGTGCAGGGCAATGGGGAGGGATGTTGGAGGTATACGCATTGACAAGAAGGCTAATGCTGCCAAATTGAACTCTGATGATGTTTCAGGGATAAGTGGTGAAGAAAAGGACTATGAGGCAGGGGATCATCATACCATGGAGGACTCAGTCACCGAAGAATGTCATGAGAAGCCAGATGCACTAGGTGCCAAAAGTACGAATCATGATGCTGGGATACCTGAAGGGAAAACCTTGAAACCAGGGGATCAAAATTTGAGTGACCAGAATTCGAGCTCACCTGTCAAGGGAAATGTGCAAACACAGGACACTGTTTTGCAACCCTCTGCTCTTGTGGCAGAGAAGCAAATTTCAATTGAAACTCATCCTATTGGGGCTGAAACTGTTGATGCTGGTGGGAATTCTTCTTCGAACACTAGTGATTTCCACTCCTCCGGCACTGAAGAAAAATCACAGGTAAGTGAATTCGTTAATGGCGTTAGGTAGCGATGCTATCATTGTTTCCCTCCTTTATAAACTATGGTTGGCAAGTTTTGAACTGTTAGGTCCTCATATAACTCCAATGAGCAACTTGATAATTCCACCCATTCAAGGTTGGTTTAAGGTAAAAGAAACTCAGTTTATTTGCAAAGCAGTGTAGCTCCGTGATGAAAACCAAACCTGACTAAAAAGTTATATAAGTGAGACATTTATTTGTTCTTATGTTAATGCACATTGCCAGTTATGGTTTATTAATTCTTGAAGTTGAAGTTAACACAAAACAGGTGAATGGCCATAGGGATTGGGTTTGCTTGGTAATCTGATGGATTGGATGAGGATTGAGACTTCTAAATTAATCAAAAATGTGTCACCACAGGAAAACAAATTATAGTAACTGTCATACTTAAGTCCTTTGCTGGTATCTTCACGCTTGTCAATTCTGCCTTAGTAAATTAAGTTGTGTTCAAATTCTGATTTCCTCGAACACTTATTACACTCCTTATGAAGCTTTGGTTTGTTGTTCTCATAAGCAAACAAGAAATTTGCATAATAAAGTGCTGTTGTAAACTGAGATGAAAGAGGCAGACACCATTGTATGATATAATTGTACATTTGGGAAAAAAAAGTTATCTTGAGAATTTTGCATTTGTACCAGCCAAACTCTCCTCAGGTATCAAGGAAGCCCCTGCAACCTGATATCAAGAAGCATGTCGATGAGGATGATAATTCATCTATCGCGTCCTCGTATCCTCTGTTGCAATTTAGATTTGAACGTATTTTTTATTTTCATATATTTTCTCTGGGTAAATTACGCTAACTTCCCTTCAGATTTGGAGAAAATAGATTGAGCCCCACAAGTTTGACATTACATTGGGCTCCCTTAAGTTTTTAATTCATATGACACTTAGCCTCTTTTTCATCAATAACTCGTTAGTAATATTGATGGAAAAATGATTTTGTCATCTCTTTTTATTCTAATATACTAAAACATATACCCTGTGATAACCACACATCACCTGCCTTAGTTTTAGTTGCTTTAGCCTTACTAAAAGGGAGGTCAATGTAATTATGCTAAATTTGTGGGTTTATTGTATTTTTTCTAAACCTCAGCGGCGGTCAATTTAATTTACTCCTTTTCTTTTCATCTGTTACCATTTATGATTCCAAGTGTCCTTAGCCTTGCATAGTACTGCAACATCTGTCTGGTCAGCAAAATCTAGGACCACTGTCCCAGTAGCTCCTGTATTTAGATGTGTTGAACGTGCAGAGAAACGTAAAGAGGTATTTCTTATTCAAACATTGAATGGAAGAGTGTTTTGTAAAAGTTTTCTTAGCTTTTTTGATTTGCTGCTTGGGATATTCTTCTCTTCATTAATTATCCATTTTCTAGTTTTACTCGAAGATGGAGGAAAAACAACATGCTCTAGAGGCGGAGAAAACAGAACATGAAGCTCGGACCAAGGTACTTTCAGTAGTGTGAATGTATCGTTTTGTTTCCTTATGCTTCTATTTCATTTCCTTTCCTTTCATCTATTCTTTATTTGTTAGGAGAAAGAAAAGAAAGTTATAAAGCAGCTTAGAAAGAACATGGTGTTCAAAGCAAAACCAATGCCTGGATTTTACCAGGAAGGACCTCCACCTAAGGCTGAACTTAAAAAGGTAATCAGTTTGGACTTATTTTTGAGTTGTTCATGAGTAGTAAAGGAGTTGAGATTGTAAGATGTTATTTATTTGGCAAAATGATTCACAGTTCACATATAATGACATAAACATTGAAATTGGGTTAAACTGGAAATTCATGGACACTAAAAGGCGTCATTAGTTACGCAAGATTGTAATTGACGTGAGAGTGTCAGTTGGGCTGTTCAACCTTTGATTTTTAGTTATGGCCAAGCTCAACACGGTTTTCAGTAGCGGAATCAGTCTTGTTTATTTGTACTCTACTAACTTTAGCTCTTTCCATGGGACTTTACAATCCTGTTAAGTAGACGGGTAATCTTACTCTGGCCTTTATGCTAAAATCTAGTGTTTTTATCATGGATGCTGTGTATTAGTGATCACGAGGTTATTACATGTTAGAGAATAAAAAAAAGTACTATTATTATCTTATAATTCATTTTATTTATATTACTAGTTAACAATTTGTTTATTCTATTTTATTTATGTGGTTTTAGAGATTTTATTAGTACATACCATAAGAATGGTTTTTTCATGTAGAATGAGGAAGACCAGTAGATGGAACAGTAAGGAAGACTGGAAGAATGATACGATCACTCTTAATGGAAATGCTAGAGGGAGGGGAGAAAATAAATTGACATGAGATGTTATAGAAAAAAAAAATGTGAATTTATTTAATTTAAATGACCATATAACCTTTGATGGAGTAGATTGATAAAAAGTGATTCATGTAGCCTTTGGTTCAACGTGTTTCAGTGGAAACATCAGAATTTCGATGTTCTACAAGTATTTCGTTTCAGTCATTTCAATGGAAAAGAAGCAAAATTTTGCTCCTTTATCCTAGCTGCACTAGTTAAAATCTTGGTTTTAGCTTTAAGGAGCTTTGTGACTTTTTTAGCTCATCCAAAACAGACCCTAAGGTAATGTTTGGTTCATTGAAATGAAGTGGAATGGAATGATCATTTTATCAAAATATCCATTCTCATGTTTGGTTGACTAAAAACATAATGAAAAATGCATTGCAAATGGAATCATTACTCACCATTGTAAATGAATGATCATTCCATATGAGAGTTTAAGGAATGAGCATTCCATATTGTTCCAATGAACCAAACATAGAATAATTACCTAGTTTGGTATTTCTTATGTTGCACCATTAGTGTACTCTTCTATACAATTCAACAGTGCAAAGTGCAAACATTTCTACGCTTGCTTCTATTGTGCAAGAACAATATGATTTACTTGAATTGGATGCCAGCCTCCTCCGACTCGTGCCAAATCACCAAAATTGAACCGGAGAAAGAGCTGTGGCGATGCAGCTAGCTCATCTTTGGAGAAAAAGGGAGTTTCCACCGGGACAATTAGCCGCCACTTTAGCAGCCACAAAGATCGTGGTAGTACTACCACCACTGACAGCCCTATGAAAAACAAGGACCAGGTCAGCAGAAAGAGTGGTAATGACACTAGCAAAATTAAGGATCGTTCTAAAACAGTGAAGGAGACCACGACTGAAACAACCCCTCATGCAAGGGCCGAGCAGACTGCAGACATCACTGTCAACGGCTAGTTTTTCTCTATGTTGAATAGGAGAAGAAGTTGGAGAATTTCTTTGTTGGGCCATTTGGGTGTTGTATAAGGAAACAACTCATTATCTCTTCTTGTTTGCAATGACTTGTTCAAGTAGTACATATCTCATAAATGAATTGTATATTTTCTGTTACTTACACCATTACATGTATATTATCTATAAGAGATACTCTTATAATGTACGCACAAATTGTTTGTTTACATTTTATCTTGTTGTATACATTTTCTTAATACAGTTTGAATTCACAATGTTTGTTAAAAGAGCTGTTGCAATTGCAAGTTATTCACAAGTTCCATGCCTCTCTTCTTTCTATTTTATTTTCATTTATTTATTTTAAAAACCAAGTTCCACATTCCATGTAGCATATCTTAAATGTTTGCTTGCTTGGTTACAGTTTACACCAATTTTAAAAATCTCAAACCTTTTAGTTTTAGCAAGCTCACCATACATTCCATGGGAATTACAAATCAATGTAAAAGACCAAAAATAATTACAAATATAGGGGTGCAACTTTTTCTGTGAAAAGTATATATATATACAACAAAAATTGTACCCCACCTTTTGGTAAATAATTTTCCTATTTCCACTATCTTCTATTTTCCCCTAAATTCACTTTTTGATCTTAAGTTCAATGACTTCTTATTTGGATAAAAAAGGATGCTAACAATCTAGACTCTTATGAAACCAGATTTATGAAAATACTTGTTTGTTTTCAAAGATTCTGTTTTTGCAGATACTTCAAAGTAACCATAATAGAGCTGGAATAGTTCATCACCCTGGCTTTAGTAGTGACTTGACCATTAGACAAGTAAGGCTTATTACCCAAGGTCTCACATAGGAAAAAGACCTCAATTTTTAATGAGTTCTACATTTAAATTTGTTAGACAATTGTCATGGTAGTTAGGAATAATGTTATGACACTAAAAGTTATATACAAAACGTACAAATACACTGGCAAATTTTGGATAGGCCTCATACCAAGCGGTGATAAGGCGAAGACTTGTGAGTACTTAATAAGATTTCAAGTGATGTATTGAATTGTATAACATGATTAGATTGTTTCTGTTATAAAAATTAAGAAAATGTAAAACAGATAAAGTAATAGATTGAATACAAGATATAGATAGAATTAAGTTCTTCTTGAACTTTTATTTGGCTTTTCAGAAACCTTTGAATATAAATATTCAGAATGTAGGTATGTTATTTTATTCAATAATTTAACTATATATTTTTGTATAATGATCATCATTTCTCTATTTCGTTTCTGACATCTACTCTTTCTTTATGCTTCAATTTCATTTATTTTCCAGATGAATGGATCGCATCACTTTTTATAGAGAAATACCTATGATGTGGAATAGTAAGAAATCGTAAAAGCATTTATGGCCCTAAAAGCCTAATTGAGTGATTCTACTTATATTATTACTTTACCTCTTTACACCCTCCATATGAATTTTTTTTTTTTCCATATGCGAAATTACCTTTAAGGACAAAACACTAAAATTAAATATATTTTATCATGTCCTTACACCTCTTAGTTTTCAATCTCTACTTCTCTTCTTCCTTTCTCAATTTTTCTTCTCTTTTACACATCTCTTTTCAAAAAGTGAGAATCATAGTATTTTGATCATAGAAGAAAGCAATGGATGAAGAAACAGTGGTGAAAAACCATCAAAAAAATGAAATAGTGAGATTTTTTATTTATTCAGTAGGTTTTTGTTTTGTTATTCTAGACTGTTCTTTGACTTTTTTTCGGTGTTTTGAAATCGAACAAAATAAAATAGTTCGGCATCACATTGCCGAACAAAAAATATATATTTGGTAACCAACTGTCGAATAAAAGATACATTTCTAGCAACCCAAGGTCAATTTTTTTTTTTAATTTGTTCGGCTACTCATTATCGTGTATTTTCAGTTTTTTATTTTTTTATTTTTTTGCTTGGAAGGATTATGCTTCTACTCATTGCAACAATGTAAGTACTGCATTATTAGTGGACTCTAGTCGTGAATTCATTATAAACGAGGTTTGCTAAGTTTTTTTATAAATACGATTTTTTTTAATTTTTAATTTGTATTGAGTTTTATTAATAATTTGACATATAAATGTATTTATTATCTTTAGATTTTTAGTAGTCGTTAAGCATTAATTAAATGGGCTTTTGATGTTGGGAAGAAGACTAGATTTGTCATTGTTACAAAGATATCAGATGCGGGAGGTAATGGCAGAAAATCAAGAGTTACACTTGAACTGCATTCGAATGTAGTGCACTACGTGCAACTATTTGGTTCACAGGAAAGAGTTGATGACCTTACCTTTATTTTATCCTACTTCGAACCTGGCCTTGGATTTAATCATTGGATGACTTTGGCCGACATGAGCCGTTTGATAGCATCATACTACCAAGTCATTTTTTATCATTTATCCATGCAATAGTGCTTGACGTTTCTACCACTTAGATCAGTATCGATTGCAACACCTGATTGAAGAGATATCAGCATAGGATTTGTAAATGGGAAACCATTTCGTGCAGGTATAAACTACCGAGCCTACTTAGATCATTATTATGTCTTATTTTGTAATTCTACTTATTGATGTCTTTGTTATAGGTTTATCAGCAACCTGGTCATCTAGGAATTGAATTCATTTTTATCACCTGTGTGCTAGTGGATAGAAGAAAGCATATACTTCCCGTATTCATCAATTTCGTATGCTTGTCAGCCCTGATGTAGTAACTACAGGAACTATCGATATATACGAATTGTGATAACATGTTTGATTGATGGATGCAAACAATTACAGATTTTATGGATGCTTTAATGAATGCTCGTACACTTGATATTTTTATGAATATTCTTATGGATACTTTTTATGTATGATTTTATGGATGCGTGTTTGATTTATGGATTTTTTTGGAACGCCCCGAAATAATTATCATAATCCATCCACAATATTAATAAACGGCAACAATACTAACATAATTACCTTTCATTAAATCCAACGTGTTTTACAAAAAGATAAACATATGCGGTATACATTCAATATGTCTAGCCATGAATCTATAGCATATGTTACAAATAAAGGAAAAGAATGGAAGTTAAACAGATAAGAAACGCCCAAAAGGCTTACAACTTTCCAAGATAGTTCTGGGTTACAACAAAAGTGGACTTTAGGTCCAATATATTTAAAGCCCTTGGCTATACAAAAATGAATACAACAAAAAGAAACTCTTGCTCCAAATCCTTCCAAGCTACTACCTTGGTGGAGGTATATCATCAGCACCTAAAATGTTTTTCTCACATAGGGTGAGCCAAAACCCAATAGAAATAATCCAACATAGTGTATGAATCTTAACAAAACTACAAGGTGAATGCATATGCCATGTTCTTGCCAAAACATATTTATATCATTTTTCAAAACTATGCAATGCCAAGTTAATATCTTGATTCATGATTCATTTCCATTTCAATAGAAAATAGGGTGGTGATTCCACTTTGAGAATTTCAAAACAATACAACACTTCTCGGAAATTTCATCCAGAGGAAACCGTAAACCGGGACCCATGTAAACGTAGGCTATACAAGCACTACTATTGCCATTTTACGAAAATTTCGTCCGCGAGATTAGCACCCATGTATACGCGCGATTTTCGAGATTTTCACCCAGGACACTCAGGCCAACTTAGTTCAACAACATAATTCATGTTTCTCAAATTCACCATTTTTCTTAAAACGATAACATTTTCAATGTATAAGTGTGAAATAATGTTCAATGCAAATGAATGAGAAAATAGTTTCAATTTTCCTAATTCACATGCAAATTCTACAACAATCATAGCTATCCTCTACCAATAGCCCAAACAGATATTTTTAAGCAGATAGTTTATATTCCATAAAGGTAAACTTTCCAAATCTGAAGAGGTGGGTGGTAATACATATCTAATTCTACCATCCTCATCAATACTAATCCAATTTCATTGTTCCAACATCAATTTCATTTATTTATACAATATAAATATTTGAAACATTTAGGGTAAAATTCTTACTCTTTTCAAAATCAAACCCAAGTGTTCAAAATCAACCATTTCCACCAAACTCTACATTTTTTTCAACATCAAAATCATTTCCAAAAGACTATTCGAAAAACCCCTATTTTGATCTTTCTATCCAAAGCCCTAGATTGTTCCAAATCTTCTAAAAATCTCATCATAGTGTAGAAATACAAATAACTAAGTTAAAACTCATAAAAAGTGTGGAAAGTATCCCTACCTCAACCTAGAACACGAGAGAGAGAGAGAGAGAGAGAGAGAGAGAGAGGGAGAAACCCAAAGACGCCAAAAACCAACTTTGTTTCGGTTAAAACGAAGCCCTCACCAAGTTCTCTCTTTTTAACAAAGACACACGGGTAAAAAGATCAATGGATCTATGTGTATTTAGGGGAAATAGGTGAGCTTTAGAGAGAGAGTGAGAGAAAATAGGCTTTTGAAATGTTTAGAGAGAGAGACATGAAAAAGTGACTTAAAATGGGCTGTTTACGAACTGATATACGCATAGCTCGCTCGAGCACAAGAGTTGTCGCTTGAACGCAGAATACACACTCCCAGAAGTTTTACAGACAACGGTCGTCGCTCGAGCACAAGAAGCTTCCTCGAGTGAAGAATACAAATCCTCAGTATTTTTTTACAGACTTGCAAAAATACTGGATGTTTACAAAGACCGCTCGAGTGCAAGAAGCTTTGCTCGAGCGAAGGGACAAAAATCTAGGCAACAAAAGTTTGAAAAACAAGCTACCAACATGTTCCAAACACAACCAACGTGACCCAATAACTCAACTCAAAGAGAGAATAGTAGAAAACAAGTAAGAACAACTATACAAGGAAAGAAACCTGAATCCAAAAGTCAAATAGGTCAGGTTTAAACCCGGAACACTATAACCTCCTCCCTTTAAGGAATTTCGTCCTCGAAATTTAAATCAAACATTTAAAACCATGTTTAAATCAATTAAAACAATGATAGTCATCCAAATCCATCATCATGATCCATTCACCGATCACCCATTCTCATCAACAAGACAATTATCTCCTCATTACTAAATGTACAATTCATATTTTCAAAACATAAACAATGTTTATGTTACATTAACATAACAAAGTTTCAATACATGTTTAGTCATCCATAAACAAGTCTGGATATTTCTCACGGACTTCTGCTTCAAGCTCCCAAGTGGCCTCCTCAAC